GACGGCGCCGCCCCCCCCCCCCGCCAAGCGGCTTGTTGCAAGACGCTGTTTCCTTCGGGCATCGCTGGCATCACAAAAGCTCGATCTGCATTTGTTGTAGACAGCTGATCGAATCCACTCTCTTCTCGACACGCACCTACTACACATGCCCATACAAATATTGAGGCGTATTGCTGCTCGTCACTCGCTCTTGACCATCCGTGCAACATCTGCAAATGCTGTGTCAGGATGTGACCGTCCCCATCATGACCAACCCCGAGTACCTGTGGTGGGCCCATACGTGGCACATGCAAACCCCCTTGGAAACGCTTGGCGCCGGGAGCTTTGTAGCTTTCGAGCTGAAAGAGAAGGTACGAATGGGTACGAGGCAGGTGAAAATGGTTGCCAGACCTCGTCTGGCGACAAGCAAGCCCAAACACGAAACTACAGAGTGATCTCCGCAAACTTTGTGTCAGGATGTGGCCGTCTCCATCATGGCCAATCCGGTTCTCAACCCAAAACTTCCTAGAGAAACATTTTTGTCGCCCACAAATATCCAGACAAACCTCCAGGTGAAACATGGCTCTTATTGGAGTACCAGCTACGTGTTCGCTTGTTCCCCACGGGCCGATCAATAATTTCTCCCAAATGAAGTCTTGTTTTCATCAAGGTCCCCGCCAGTACATACATGCCCACCTCACCTGATACGCGAAGACCCCATGTGTCCGTCCGAGCTGATGTACAGGGATGCGAGGCACGTGGCAATTATCAGAGCGATCTTCGCCTGTGACCTGCCAACACTTCCGTGCAAACTCAGAAAAAAGAGTACAAAATACGCAAAAGGTTGCGTTCCTTCATGGGACATTTATCTCCTCATCTATCCACTGCCATGCTCGATGGCGACCTTCTCACCAACAAAACCTGGAAAGGAAACTCCGGGTTGACGCCGACCCCTCTCCCCCCCCGGCGGCTCCTACCATATACATCCCGACCGAACTGCAGGGCGAGCACAAGGAAAGGACGCTGTCGTGGGGCGCGTACCACCTCAACCCGGACGAGGTCAACTCCAGGCCCGAGAGCCTCTGCGCCTACGCTGGTGTCCCGCCCGCGTTGGTTCGCCTGGAACCCTCCGAGTTTAGCCTTGTCGGTGACGCCATCATCACCAAGGCCAACCCTTCTCCACCGGCGACTACCGGCGCCGCCACCGGCACCGCCGCTGCCGCTACTACCGACGATGAGGAGGCAGCAGTCGCAGTGTCGTCTGCCGGGGGTGACCCTGTTTTGTCGTTGCCGTACCCCTGCCCGGCGAACAAAGCTGGTTGAACTGGGCAGGCGTGGTCCTCGCCTTGTTTGCCTCAGTGTTTAATGTCTTGGAGTGGAACCGCTTGTTCCCGTTTTTGGCGGTTCGTGCCGCGGCCCGTTGGAACAGACACTCAATGTGATGGGCTTTTGTTTGCTCTCAGTTGCTCCTGGTCTTTAGTCTACATGTGTCGTGTAGAGAAAAGTCGTGTGTGTGCGCGGGAAGGATGTCGTGAGTGAGAAAAAAAGAGTCAGGACAATATATAATCAATATAAAGTTGCTGCAACCAGTCGTCATTGCATTCATTGGGCGATGTAATACAGATGGCGTCAGCAAACAGATGCAAGTGCGCGTTCGGTCCTCCATCAGACAGAGAGTGAACTTTTTGATTACACTTCCCCGCTTCTGTCGTGAACGAATCAGAACCCCGCGATGGTTTTTCAAAGACATGCATGCCGGGTTATTGAAACTTTCTACTTCTCACCTCGAGCTAATACGCGCTTACCCTTTGCTTTTTGACGATCTCCTGCGCATGAAGTGACACTTCAAGATGTGTGGCTGCCTCCTGGAGGTAGAATTTGGCTTCCATGGAAGGTGGCTAGTTTTTGCTTCCATGGAAGCTCGCCAAGTGACTTCCATGGATGCTTTAGGAACTTCCTTCCGTGGAAGTAACGGTAGGAGCGTTTCATGAGCGACGTTCGTTGAAATTTTTATCGGCTGATTTTTTCGATTTTTTAAACGTCGGCTACGGCGAAGTCTATGCATGGTTTAAGAGTAGCGCGAGGGCTCGCACAGGGAGCTCCCTCCTCGGCTCAGTCGCTTGCCCGCTCGCTGTGCGTGCTCCATCGCGCCCCGACAAAGGGGGCCCGCCGGAGGAAAAACAAAAAAACATCGAGAGAGGCCCTTTTGACTTTGTTTTCCTTCGAAATCCCATCGAAACGCATGTACTTTATCTTCGAGTAAAAACCCTACACATTTTGTCTGATGTGGATTGAATTCCAGTGGTGTCTTTAACTTTACAGAAATATCACATCAAAACTTTCCACCAACAGCCGCAAACAGGAGACGAAAGAAAACAGAAACGGCGGCCATCAAACGTCCACCCGCCGCGTCAGCGTCATGAAACCAGAAGCAGGGAGGAAATAAATGAAACAGCACGACGAGCGCCCCGCTAGAACCTCGGAGACAAACATCACGTCATCATTCCGAACCTTCTGCAGTCAACGACGTTATTATGGCTTGGCGAACAAGAGCCACGGAGAACCCCAAGGGCGACGACAAGAACATCGATAATAGAGAACGACACAGACCAAATACTGCTCTATTTAGTATTGTAACCCTACTGGACATGTCACAAAACAACGAAGCAAGAAACGTGCAGTGCGCACAAAACGACCCTTACGGTTCAATCCTGAGTGGAACGGGTGCGGCTCTACCACCAACGATCCAAACGCCAAAACATGGTCCAACATGGACCAGAATGGACACCGTACAACGGTACCATATCAGAACAAGAGATGATCACGAACAACGTGCACTTCACACTGATTTCATCTGCGTGTGTTGGGGTCGTGAACATCGGAAACTACTGTGGTAGAACGAGGACAGCACCCACGAGGACAGCACTTGCAGGTGATGCTGTCGCAGTGGACAATGTTCTTGCAGGCAATAAACATGCTTTTTATCCTGAGCTTGACAAACGCTTTTTTTCCGCCCACAAGAACGACGATTAGAAATTCCGACAAGATATGCAAGGATTTCTAGCACTTGAAGTGACGAAGAATCGTCGCAAGTATCGCCCGGGAGTGTTGGCGCCACAGTTCCACTCAAAAACTACTTGGAGACCAGTCCGGCGTGGTTGGCGCCGGCGTTGAGTCCAGAGCAGGAAGACCTGAGCCATCGCTGCCGCTGCCGTTATCCGGCGCCGCACGCTCTGCGGTTGGAGCAATCGTGGGGTTTCCGGGTGTAACGTCAACTGCTGGAGTGGGTGCGGTAGTTGCAACTGCAACAGGGGTTGGGGTTGGTGCTCGGCCTGGTGAGCTGCCACCGCTGCTGCTGCTGCTGTCCGACACCGCACCCCCTGTGGTTGGAGCAATCGTGGGGTTTCCGGGTGGGACGCCATCTGCTGGGATTAGAGGGGGTAGTAGTTGCAGCTTCAACTGAAAAAGGAGTGGCTACCGTGGTCGGGACTGGTACTGAGCCTGGTGGTGGGGTCATACCTAGAGCTGATGGGGCCGGGCTCGATCGGCTCGTCATGACGGTTGTCCCCGAGAATAGTTCAGCCGCCTGGCGAGCATCTCCCGCCCAGCTGCTCTCCTCGAGGGATGAGGAAGATGGTAAGTCATTGAAGGCGTTGTCATCACGCTCGAATTGGTCAACGATCGGCGCTTCGTACACAGCGTCTACACAGAGGAGTGTGCCGGTGTTAACAATGGCGACCACGCAAGGACGCGTGTCTTACCCAGATTCCTCGGACGCAGCAATGAACGCAGCACGCAGCAATGAACTATTGAATTCGCGGCCATAGCGAGACCTCCTCCATGTACGACGTGCTCCCTGGATATGGATCGCACATGCTACACGTGCAGTCGCTCGACCCGTCTAGACTACCCTTGAGACCGATGCCCACAGTGCGCCCACGATCCAAGTTGTTGATGGATAGTTGAGTGCGCTCACTTCGCAGCCAATCGTTGTCGAATCGGAGGCCTCGCGGTCGTCCCACACCACCTCGCTATCTTCATCCAACGGGCTGATGCCTTGCAGCATGCACCCCACGAGGCATTCCGACGAGCTTGCGGCAGAACTATTTACTGACCTCTGATATGGCAGGGAGCATCTCAGCAGCCTGACAGACAACCCCGGCCCAGCTTCTCTCCTCGAGGGATGAGGAAGATGGTAAGTCATTGAAGGCGGTGTAATCATACTCGAATTGGTCAACGAGCGGCACTTCGTACGCCTCGCCTACACACGGGAGCGGCCTGTGTCGACAGTTGCGGCCACGCAAGGACTCATATCTTACCCAGATTCCTCGGACGCAGCAATGAAGCATTGACTTCGCGACCACAGCGAGACCTCCTCCATGTATATCGTGTAACTACTCCAGCTACATTTTGCAACTTTCGATCCGCGCCCACAAACAACGCTTTTCTTCTGAACGCTACACATATTTTGATGCCACTATTGAGGTCATTTCACTACTCAGGGTGCCACTATCACCTGTAGCCATTCGACTACCGCTGTGTGGACCTTGCGGGCAAATAGTCTAGACCCTGCACGGACACTGCTGTGACAACCTGGGAAGGTAATTGGTCCCCACAAGGTCTACGGCAGGAACCCTGTCAGGATGTCGACACTTCCAGGATTGTCATAAGCAGATCGCCATGAAGGGCAAAACCGCCAGGAAGATCCTTCACATACATGCACACACCAAGATGCTCTGCTGTACATGACATGGAGACTAGACCGAAACCATCGGCACATGCGATGTTGACATTTGAAGCCTTGGTGACGACACTTCACGTCCTCTTACGCACCATTCGTCACACTACGGGCAGCTCCACAGAGGCGCGTGCTAGCATTTGTTGATGGCAGAGTGGCTGCATGCGGTGCGGCATGGCATGGATGGTGATGATGATCAATGATGATACTAATTTTTTTTTTTTTTTGCCCTCCGACAATTGCAGATGTACCTCAGAAAACTTTCACTTAATGTCTCATACTCTACATGAATATTAAACCAATACGAAGTACAACAACATATGTAGGACTTATTTCTACTGTCATTTACATCGTAAAAGTATCTCCTCTTCAACTTACCAATGACAATCCTGATGGTATCCTATATGCGTTCGTAAGCTTGCTAAAATACTACTGCGTTGATGTCCGCTTGTAAAAGCTGAAATCCAACAAATGCTTTGATCCATGCTACATCTCCGTGTTGGGAAAGCCCTTTCATCTCCGTTCATGATAACATCTTACCCTATTCTACGCAAATCTGTCACATCTACTCTCAAACAAGACGTCAACTTCTTTTCTTCAAGATGGACAGGAGAGGGATTGGTTGAGTCATGTCATACATGTAATAGATAAAATAAACATTGTGCGCGCGGGACTGTCATCCGTCGTCATGGACGGAGCCCCCGTACGCTTCGCATCTCAGCCGCCGCGCCCCTGGGCCGTAGTAGCAGGGGAGATCGACACGAAACACGAGGACACGACCACACGCGCCACCCACCACGCACCACGCACCACGCTCCGTAAGTGCCGGTGTAATGTCGATACTTAGCACTGGATGCCACAGCTTGCCTTTCTGTCGACGGGAATCGATGTTTTGATGCGGTTCGGATTGGCGGGAAAGCATGTGGAGGTCCACCCCAACACGCAAAACTGCTTTGACCCAGCCGGTCGCTAGAGGGTAAAGTGGACCTCAACAGGACAGCAGGTCAAGGCACACACTCGGGAGTAATCGGGCGCAACCTTTCCTCGGCATCGCAATCTCAGGTGAACGCTGCCTCATATAGACATTAACCGGCGCACGCACACCCGGACGCACGGAGAATACAGCAGCAGCCTACACTCAAGAGTACAACATTGCCAACGGCAACGAGAGAAAGGCCCGCATGCCAGCAGAACAGCAGTCAGTCTCTGTTGGTGCGTGTAGCAGACGTCACGCTCGCATGCTTGCACGCTTGCGCACATAAGCGTCTCTCACATCACTTCGCCAACGCGTGCTTTTCTTGACGCGTTTGCGCAAAGCTTGTACGGAGAAATGATAGTTTCTGTAGGTCGCGTGAGATACCACATCCGGTGTATGTTATGCTGTACTTTATGAACCCTTCTCTGTACTGCTGTTACGTGCGACGCGTTTGTGCATTCGTACCATGTATCCCCTACCTGTATTTGTCTAGGTCAACCTACATGTATGGCACCACCACTGTTATGACCTTGATCATTGCTGTTTGTATTGCATGGCTGCTGATGATGATCCGGCGTTGAGTTTTACACCCCTCTTGCTGTAGGCATAGTCTATGCATACCTCGTCTTACAGTCGAACCTCGCTTAACTTAACCAAAATTAAATTAACTCCCTCGGTTAACTTAACTATTTTTTTTGGAAACATGGTGGCCCGCAGAATGTATTTTAGATGGGGGGTATCAAATATAGCTCGCGGACCCCCTGAGAACAGCGGTTTTACTACACACAGCCGTTGATGATGGCGCTTCTGACGATGAAGATGGTGAGGGCAGTCCAGAGTCATGCATCACATCTTCGATGACAGAGGGCGACGTTCGCAGTAGCCTAGAGACGCTCCTACTTGCACGCGAACGGAAAGGGTGGGGAGCACCGCGAAACCCACTACCTGCTTTCGAAGGCTGTGCATTCGTTCACTCACGAAACTCAAGTCAAGCGGCGAGCTAAGGATGGGGGGGAGCTGCAGGCAACTATGCGCGACATGTGGAGGTCGTAGCGTGTGCGGTTCCGAACCAACGCCGTGTTTGGGGTGGCCTGAGTATGTCTTGAAGGCGTCGCAGCACATGGGAATAACCCACAGGAGTGATTGTAGAGTGCGCTCGGCCAGAGTTTTGCGAAGTTTGCGCGGAGGTTCAAGCGTTTCAACTATATCATCTTGGTTATAGTGTTCAGTAAAATGGGAACAAAAAATATTTTTACCTCCAACTTTTCGGTCTCCTCGTTCGTGACACACATACTGGAGCTCAATGCGCGTCTATTGACGTATTAACCGCCTCCATTGGCCCCGGGGATGGTGAGTTGTGGTCCCCTGAATCTTATCTTAACTCCCCCCGCTTAACTTAACTTTTTTCAGCGAAAAACCATGTGTTAAGTTAAGCGAGGCTCGACTGTACATCAGATTTCTCCCATGGATTGTCCCCGCTGTTACCTTGTGTAATTTCGATGGAAGAAGAAAGTGGGTGGTGCCACTCGGCGGTATTGCCTGTTCGAACTCTGTTCAACTACATATGTGTGTGGTAACAAGAGCGGTGCGGATTATGAGATATCTGTGTCCTGTAGGGAGTGCACATGTGGTCTTGCCCATCCCACGTTTCTATTGTTCTCGATTTGGTGCGTGCCTTTTTCTGTTTTTTTAGCGTGCTAGGGACATGGTCGGGCGAGTCACCAAGGCGCACATGGCGTCGACACGCCAGGACCTGTCCGAGAGGCAACTCCTGGGAGAGGATCGGCTACACGAGCACTTCGTGGCGCAGGTAATAGTTTGTTTCCATCTGGTTTGCCCTCAACGACAACTGGTGTCCCCCCGTAACTTTTTTTATTATCACACAAATGTACACGATCGCAGTTCAGAACCATCGCTTGTTCCGCGTCCCCACGAGACGAAGTCGTGTATATGCACACGTGAGGAAATACAGAGATTCGCCCTCCTGACGTTGTAAGAGAACACTCCAGCGCGCAGCAGAAAACGAGTAAAATAATGAGACAAGAATATACGAACGCCGGAGCATGTACACAACATTCGATTGCATGGCGGGTACATCGTGCCGGTAGGAAGCACCAGCACGGTACACTCACGGCACCGCTACACATGTCTCCACATGCACACATTCAGCAGCACCTTTATTATTTCCCGCTCTGCCTGCTGACGTCCATGTTGTACACCAGGTCGTCACGCCGGCTCTACTGCACGCCGCGAACGACATCGCCGCCCACCCCGTCAACGAGAATGGCAAGCACGAAAACATGTGTGCGAGTGCACGAGGGAGGCGAGGGCGTGGGGCAGGCTTTCCAACGACGGATACAGCACCACCAACGCCAGGGCATATTCCAAGAGAGGTGAGCTTTCCCGAACCGATCTTTCCACAACCTCAACTGCAAGCAGGGGGAGTATGTCTCCACGCGAGCTACACGGCGGGCGGTTCTGCTGTTTTCCTATTTTGACACGTGGTGGAATGAGCCTTTTCTCTCCGGTTGGGCATCAAGTCAAGTACAGCGTACTCGCTTTTTGCTGGCCGTCGTTGCCGAATCTGGGTGTGGTTTTCTCCATTGCATTGTCGCATGGTTGTTCCCGATTGTAACTAGCGATCGTTTGGAGTTGTCAGCAATTTCGTGCACGTGGAGAGCCGGCGATCCTGCTGGTTTGAAGGAGCAGGTAAGGTATGTGTGACAGCACGCATGCAGTGAGTGCCCCCCGCTTGATTTGTTCACTCTTTTAAGTATTGCTTCGTGCAGATGCAGTTTATTTGGGCCAGACCTATTTCGCTTTCTTCTGTACGTTTTGGCATTCCCCGATTAGAGTCGCCCCGCGGATGATATTTTCGTTTTTTCAGACCCTCCCCCCTCACCTCCTGCTCTTGCGCTGCTACCAACACAATCGTTCACCTCCATGTTGTACGTCGCGGAATAACACAGTATTATTCTCGTGTTCTTATTCTCGTCACGCATTTGCATGTAACCCCACCTAACCGCGTTCGTCCACTCTGGAATCAAACATGAAGTTTTTGTTTCATGTCGTTGCGCATCCATGCCTTCCCTTTCTCTACGTGCTTTGGAACAGTTTCTGGGACTCCATGCTGCAGTTCATGACGGGCCTGCGTCGCATAGCCTCCGGACTCCTGACCATCGCCAAGTCGCACTACGGGAACCCCAAGATCATGTTCTTCCTGTCCCCCCTACGCCCGCGGGGACGACAATCTCATCGTGGAGGATACCCCGGCCGCAAACGTGCACGTCGACGATGCCGAGCTCGGCGCATTTCTCGACGAGATGGCCGGGTCAACGCTCAGCATCCGTATGGATCGCGAAATTGCTGGCAATGTTCTTGGCCTTTGCGCTTGGTGTGGTGTTTGGTGGGAGTGGGAGGGAGCAGGTTGCTTTTTATATAGCGTTCGGCAATAGTCTATAGGTAGTCTATCTCGTGAAGCGGTGGCACTTTTTTTTGTCACTATGTGTTGTCGAGGCACGTGTCATACGCCTGCACTTCGACAAGTGCGTGCGTACCTTGGACGTGATACACACAACGCAGAGGCTGTTTTGCGTTTCGCCGGGGGGAGGGGCACCCAAGTATGGAGGTGCTACGAACAAGAGGCAAGTAGGTTTGGTCGGAGCTCAATTTCGTTGAGTTGAGTCCGTATGCACAAGAATGTGGGCTTGAGCGGGTACATGCAAGTTGCGTGAACCTGAGGGCAAGGGGTGCGATTTTTTTGTAGTGAGGGAATGGGTTGATGCAATTTGTTTCGGGTCATTTGTGTCCTTTTGTTATAGATCGTGTGGTTCACATGAGTTCTGAGTTGGTGCACGTCGTGACTACGTTTTGCAATGTCGAAAGTGGTCGTCGAAGTTTGGGTTGTGAGCCCCTTATATGGTGGATTTTAATTGATAGATTAGGCTTTGGGATGCATCCTACTGAAAATGGTGTCGATGAGCGATGATCGTTTTGTACTTGTAGGAGCACCAAATGCTGCTGCGAGGGACGCAACAAGAAGGCAAATGAAATAAATATTCAAAAGGAAAATCTAGAATTTTTCGGCGCCGTTAGTACAACGGCCACGGTCTCCACAGGGTTTTCCCAGGGTGTGTACCCCGCGAGGGTGCCTGAGTGGCAGGGTACGCACAGGGTGTGGGATCGGTACCCTGGCAGGGTACCCACCTTGCAGCCGGGTCAAGCCTGCAAGGTAGTCTTTTAGGGTGACCTCGCCGGGGTGATATCTCCCCACCCTGGCAGCGTAGCCGAATGGCTACAGGTGATGTCGGGACAACTACTGTACATACATGCAGGTGGGGAGGCACGGGTAGAACAGCAGGTGCTTTGGTCAATGTTTACTTGGTTCTAGGTACATACTTCTTTCTGCCTCCGCCTATGATTGGCTGGCCGTTTGGGGTTAGGGTAGTTAGAGTTTTAGTCGGTTTCATGCCCCTGCCAACGCGGAGAATGTTTAGAAGCACTGCTGCCTGTAGTACCAGAATATTGCGATGATTGTCAATCAACTGGTTGCTGTTTGCGGGGACAAGATGCGGCACTTGTAGTGGTGTTAAGAAACAACTTTTGTCATTCACTTTTTCCGCGTCGAGCTTGCCGCTGCGGCATGCGAAGGGTGTGCTGGGTTGGTGGTGATGAGAGAATATCTAGGTTGTTATTCTAGGTACTACTAACAACGCTGTAGGTTGGCATTACTGCGATAAGTCTAGGTTGTTATTCTAGGTACTACTACCAATGCTGTAGGTTGGCATTACTGCGATAAATCTAGGTTGTTGCATTGGTCGGTGGTGCTTGGATAGGGCTTGGTGGTGAACAAACGCTGCTGGTGTAGGTCTGCGGGACCGCCAAGTAAGTGTGGGTACATATCCGATGTGCACCCCCCTGGGTACATCGAATAGTGGTGTTGTCTTTTGTCCATGTTCTTGGCACCGAAACCTACAGCAGTGGGCGTCGCAACCCCAGAGGAGCTATTCGGCGTTGTTCCGCCGGGAATACTTCAGCGTAATGCCGCGTCCTGGTAGAAAGTCAGTCAATGTTGCTGTGGTTTTTCGCGTTTAGTCTTTCGGAATGTTGCGTCATACCCCTATTCTAGATGCATGTACGAAACCGAAATTTCCGAGTATTGTTTTTTTGTCTTCACTTCAAATCAGCGCTCACAGCACTGGGGCCATTTACTCCGACCCGTGGTCACACAGAAGAGCCCCTCTCTACCCTCCCCTCCTGCGGTATTTTGCCTTCAGTTTTTAATGCGAGAAGAGTTCAGCACTCCCTTCCCTCTGTGTACACACGAACTAGCGCTATCCACTAGGCCCGGGGCGGAAGCGAGAGAAAAACTCACCTTGGAAGAAAAGCTCGCTAACGCCGGGATTCGAACCCCTGACCTGACCTCTAGTAGGTTTCGAGGATACCAACTAGAACACCGGGGCGACGGGCTTCATGTATCGAGGTAAACCCGCCTTGGACACCCTTTTTCCCGGATGCCCTTGGTGCAGCACTAAACTTGGTGCGTCCGTCGAGAGACAACCTGAAACTCATCCACTCATCGCCAAACAAAGTAAACATGTTCTTGCTGAGCATCCAGCAGTCACATCATAACAACCGCTGTAGTCTAGGAGCCCATCGGGGATCTTTTGTCTCTCTTCTTCCCTCCAAAGAAACAAATCCACGTACAATATACACTATACACTTCCGTGCAAAAGGAACCTACGCGAACGACGAGGATACACCCAACCCTTTTCCCTCACGTATGGAAAGTTTGGAATTCAAATTCAAGCGAAAGACGTAGTGAACCGCCTTGACTTCTGAAAGTAAACGAGCTAAAAAATCGAATCCGAACAAAACAGGGGAATACCGACCCAACGTCCAAACAACGTTGGTCTCGTCCCCGTAGACAGATACTTCCAGGCCTTTCATCTACAATCTATAAGGTTTTTGTTTTCACCCTTCAGCTTTCTCCTCGCCCAACTACTGTGGAGAAGATGATGGGCTCAATTTCGGCGTCGAGACGGAAGCACCATATTCCTCTCTCAACTGGACTTGGTTCCTGAACGGAGCATCACCACGCGGTTTTGAGGGAGGGGCTTGGTCCACTTGCTCCGCCCACGTGCTCCGGCCGGCGGCGGAATTAGCTCCCTCAGCGACCGGCCCTCAGCGGTCGGACTATGCCACACGGGTACATACCAGCGGCACGGGCTGTCGCCACGGAAACAGCGCTGCGGTACCAGCAGCAGCAGCAGCAGCAGCAGCAGCAGCAGCAGCAGCAGCAGCAGCCAATCCCAGTTACGGAGGTGCATTTTTGTCCGCCTTTGCTTTCATCTCGTTCATGAACTCGAGCTCGGCGGCGCGCTCCTCCGCCTCCACGTCTTTCTTCTTTTTACTTCTTGTGCCTTTCTTCTTCGCCTCCGGCTTCTTCACTGCCGGTGGGGGTTGGGCAGGCGGAGCCGTTGTTGCCGCTTCTTCCTCTGCTGGTTTTGCGACGGGTTTTGGCGTTGTGGTATCTTTCTTCTTTTCGGACCCCGGCGCTTTTGGTGGCACTGCTGTGGTCGCCTCTGCGGGTGTTGCTGCAGTCAGTTTTGATGCCGCAGGAGTCGTCGGGGTGACTACCGTCACTTCTGGCGCTGCAGAAGACTCCGCAAAAGGTTCCTCGCCGGCATATTTCCCTCCTCCGGGCAATTCCTTCGTAGCAGCACCACCAGCAGCAGATGACGGCGCATCATCGACCCTTGCTGTAGGCGCTGACGCCGTTCGCTGCAGGTCGACCGCATCCTGCACCCGCTTCTGGGACTGCTGGTACTTGTACAGCGGTCCGAGCAGCGTGCGTGCCACCTGCGATGTTTGTCACCCCAACAGACAGCCGATGAAGCAATGCGAATGGCGGCACCAGACTTTGGAATGTCTTACCAAACGGCCAAGTGAAAAAGCGTCTGAGGACAATGCCGTAAGCTGCTTGTCGCAGGTTTGGACCGCACAACGCAGGCGAGGAATTACCGCAAGGCACGCTGGTCAGAAAAAGTGGGGAAGTAGGGAGTCATCTCTTGCTCGCCATATGATTGACAGATTGATGGCATGAACCGAAGTCAAGACGTTAACCCTCGCTTCATGTGTACTCGAAGAAGACAAAAAAAAACGTTGTCTGCACGCACACGCACACAGTTGACAGAATCGCGAATCAAGCGACACATCTCTGCGTTCCTACTTGAAACTACCGCGTCGACTCGTGCGGGTTGTCCCAAAGCTAGCTGGAGTGTCCGGAGCAGCGTCAGAACCAACAAAAAACGGTGGACGCGTCATACCTCAACCGGGATGGACCTGGCCTCCCTGGCGAACCCAAAAAGACCCTTTCCCACCACTACAGCCCCCTGAGCTGTCGCACCGAGAGCCTTGAGTGTAGCGAACGCAATGTCTTTCGCGCTGTACATTTCGGCGATGCATTAGGGGTCCGTGTGATTAGCACCCAGACAACGGAGGCAAAAACTTGAGAGCGAAAATGGGCATATCCACACAGTCACGCGAGTGAAGGAGGGGTCAGCGACACACAACGTGGCAGCAACGATGTCCAAACAACGCGACCGCTGGGAGTAACGAAGGAGACGCGAAACAAACACACAAGTCGTGCAGCGAGACGGCGATACTTCTTAATAGTGCAGCGCCACACTGTCACGACCAGCATCTAACAAAAACAAGCCAGGTCAGCCGGGTCGATCGTTGAATGCCAACGGTGGGAAACAGAGACTAAATAGCGCGCACCCCTCCTTCTACGACTCTTCCGCCTCTCAAAGCGCGTTTCCCTAATTGGCCTCCCGATTCGTATCATGATCACCGACGAACTCTAATCTCGCAAATTCTTCAAAAGGGGTTGATCCCTACAATAGTATCAGTGGAGCGAAACTAACGTGGCGTTCTTGAGGGTTTGGAAAGACGAAGATCCCCCACGAGGGAAACAACATGGATGGTGGCATAAACAAAGCAACACGCAGCAATCGCACATCCCGGCACGAAATACAAGAAACTAGGAGCGAGAGTTCAACGTGTCCTTCCCAACAGAACGTTGAAATATATCATGTGGCAACGCAGAAATAAAATATGCGTTATTCGGTATGTTCAAATTGATGCACATCTTTCTCGGAGGTGGGGCTGATCGGTTGAATGCCCTGGTTTGCCAAATCAACGCAAGGCGATGCTTGATGTTACCACCGGCGTACGTGTAAGGCTCCCCCCCGAACGTGACGAGGGCGTTCTTCATCTTCTCCTTCCTCCGCGCCTCCGCCTCCCTCTTCTCCCTCTCCTCCCTCTCCTTCTTCTCCTTGCCGGTGGCGACGGCGGCGGCCCTCTGGGCGAGGCTAGAGACGGTGTCCACCCCGCCCTTGACGCCGGACACGAAGCTCTCCGCAGACGCTTGCGTCGAGGTCACCGACGCCAGCACACCGTCTACCTTTTTCTGGGCCTGAAGCAGTTTCAGCGGCCGCAGCAGGAGGCCAAAACGTCACAAGGTGGAGAGTGATTCATGCCGTAGCCGTTGTACGTCACAGGGTCGTAACATTGCCCATGATGATGAATCTCTGTCGTAACGTAGCGGAGCAACACCCTTCCTGCTCCGGAAGCAAAAGTTGTCACATGAATGCACTACGGGTGCTCAACTGCAGGTTCCGCCGCGCACGCAAAACGAACAGACCGCAGACATACGCACGCCACGCCAATGACCGATTCTCCACGCTCAAACAGAGAAACAACCACGTACGTCAGAATGAACACGTTTGCAAAGCACTTTTCCCGCCTTTCGGTCTGCCGATGGCACGCAGAAGCCAACCAGCACCCCCACACCTCTTTCGGGATCTCTTGAACGGTCCGCGGGATGCTCTCCAACACCTCGCCGGCAGATGCCGCCGCCTCTTGAGCGGTCGTCACCGCCTCCTTAGCCTTGGCTACCCCGTTGCTGACAGCTGCTGGCGTCGACGCCACAGCGTCCACAAGGTGGTCCACCTGAGGAACGTTTGCAGTGTTGGTGCGGGGAAGGAGAGCCCACTCACTATCGTGCTTGCGTGTGCGTCGCATTTTTTCTTGGCTTCAGAATCTGGACGCAACTAGCCGGCGTCACACAGGGAGGAAGACCACACGGAAAACTTTTTCTTTTCTATGCCTGTACGACCGAAATTCTTGCACTACACACGGCACAAACCGTTGGAAACCCGTACAACGAGCCGGACCGAACCACGTCCAGCCGGGTTGTCGTCAACTGGGGCAACCGTCGGGGGTCAAACCGCCAGCCTACCGTACGCTGTCAGCTTCAACCATCCCCCAGAGACATCTTTTGCGCTTCCAGCATAACAACAGACAGCCGACACAAAGGCAGGCAGGTACTATGCAAGGCATGAATCGGCGGGGCGCGTGGCAGCCTCGGGGTGCTTCTGAAAAGGACAAGCTTCCATCGAATAATGCCGAATGGACAACCACCTCTTTCCAGATAGAAGGTAGGACAAACGCCGAACCAACCTCGACCTACCCTGTTGTAGGCCACGTGCAACGGGTTGAATGAGACGAGAAAGAAAAAAACGCTTCGAAGGTTGCCGAGCACCTCCGCGTTACGACATGGTACACGATAATCGTAGATGCGCGTTTTGGGAGACCGGCATCGGCGCTTGCCGCTCTTCCCCGCACCACAACGATGGCGTCGCCCACATCACCACCAGAAAAGTGGCGCACAGAACGCGTGCCACTCGCCAACACAACTCACCCCCTCCACCGTTCCCCACACGACCGCCTTGGCAGATTCCACCGCGGCTCCAAGCTTCGCCGCTGCCGCCCTCCGCTCGGCGGCGGCCTTTCTTTCTCGCTCCAATCGCTCCTGCGAGAAGAAAACAGCGAAAACGCCCACATGCAATTCGGCAAAACAAAAATACCACAGCAGATGAGACCAAAATTGAGGACCTGGAGTCCGTATTTAACCCGGAGAAGAACCAATTGTATTGATGTTGGGTCCACGCCATGCGCAGTGTCAGCCCACCCGACGGTCAACACTTTCCGACCACCCGAAAAGTAGAACCGAACAGGAGCACCCATCACAGGACAAGATCAGCAAGTCGAAAGCAAAAACGAACAGAGATTGAAGAATATCGCTTGTCGTTGCGCGGTTCGGATTTCAACGGTTGAAATTTCTGATGCAGGGTGCAGAGGGTTGAATTGGGGCGTCCACAGCTGGGACAACACTTGCTGCCGTTTGATACATTAGTCAAATGGATGACGGCAACAGCAGCAACAACAACACCACCCATGACAACTAGGGCTTTCGTCAGTGGCAATTTTGTTTTCGAACGTACACAGCCTCGCGTCTCCCAATCTACTCAGGGCACAGTTGGCGAGTCACCCAATGGCGCGGCCTGAATCTAACAAGAGACACAGCAGAAAAGGGCCTGCAAAGAGCATCAAGAAGCGGCACACAATTCTTCACCGCAATGACACAAAGGACCGAAACCTCTCTAAAAGCACCTGGAGACCATCTCCAATCGTCTCCTTCTCTTCAACGGAAAGTAGTAGTCCGGAGAGACCAAGCAAAACAAGGAAATCATTGAGGGCACCGTCAATGAAAATCGTACCTCCTGCTGCCGTCTCCGTTTCTCGGCCATCTCGGCGGGCATGTCCGCGAGGCGCGACACCGCATTGACCGCCCCGTACACTCCTTCTTTGACGGAGGTGGCAGCCTTGCCGGCCTCCTTGACGGCGCCAGACACGGCCTCGGCAGCCTGGGCGGGAGCTCTCGCCACGGCTTGAGCGTTCTCCTTGGCTCCTGATTGGTGCGGTTTCGTGGTGAAGGTGGGGGGAGGCCGTAACCGCAATAAATTCGAAAGGGTCCCTGGCTATATTTCCAACCAGAGCGGTGCACAGGAATGAGTTCAAGCCGGCGGTCACCAGAATTGTTGTCACTCAAAGTTGCCATTCTCCTATCGCCATCGGAGTTGCCGCCCGTGACACCTCGGGGGGGCGTCTCTCGCAGCTCCCTCGTTGTTGTTGCCATCCTATTATAGTTAACCGTGGCTCGCAAAATCGTCTCAACGTATTATGTTATGCCTACATACGTAAACATCGAGTATCTCAACCGTCCCCTCCCTCGTAACCTTCGATGGCCGCCTTCCCGCTTTCGATGGCCGCCTTCCCGTCCTCCACGATACCCTTGGCCACCTCCGGAGCCTTGGAAGCCGCGTCCGCCGCGGAGCTCAGCGTGTCCAATGACCCCCAGAACGCGTCCTTCGCCGCCACGGCTCCGCCCACGAGCAGTCGCAGCGCTCGTTTCGCGCCTCCGGGGGCGTTCGATGGGACAACCGGTGTAACGCTAGCTGTCGCGGCAAGTTGAGGCATGGCGCCACCGTCGCCGGCTGCTGCGAGTTCCGGTCATGCGCCCGAGGACGGGGGGGGGCGTACTCTTATGCTTTGCACGCTTTGCCTGTTACATATACCATTGACCACGCCTCCTCGAGAGGACGGAACATCGGTCCCACAGAGACTGATCACCGGTGGCCCGTCGTTCCTTACTACTTCGCCAAAGGTGGCTCAAAAATTTTTTCCCTTGCCCGTGAGGGAAAGGGGCCGATAAAAAACCGCGGTGCACGGTCATGGATACATTTCCGCTCTCGTCATTGGGTGGTTTCGGAGCTGGTAGCTTAACCAGCATTCCATGTCTTGCGGGTTCACGAAAGGAACGCGTGTGATAGTAGCACCTGCGGTGCTGTTGTCTACAGCCAAGCTGTGGGCAAGAGCGGGATGCAGCACTACAAGGCTCCCCTTCCGGAGTTGGGTGGCTTGCCTCCCGGGGGCGACGCAAGGGGACATGGTCAATGTCATCGCGGTGGCACGGTTGCATCCAAACATCTCGGCAGTGAGTGCACACGGTTTTGCGTCCAACCTGCAGAGTTCGCCTGGAATATTGCCTAATGTGCGGGGTATTGTTATTATCGCTGTCACTTTTCGCGTGCGCGTGCGTGTGTGCTATGAGCCTAGTGATGAAGAGTTTGCTGCAGGTCCTACTGCTGTAATTCGCTGCGCTTCATCACTCGTTCTCATCAACTCAATGTTGTCCATGGTGTGCGGGGCCTTGTGTGCCTTGCGCAGGAATCAAACAGGAAAACACCCCGCTAGCAAGTGTCCGGTTCAGTTTTCAAGTATGTATCTGAAGGCTTTTTCGGTTCGGATTCGCAGTCCTGAAATAGAGCCAGTTCCAGCGACTTTTCGGCGGCCATCACGCGCACCACCGATGTCTCGCACGCCCCACACAAAACGGGTAATTTACCGACGGGTTCTCTGAGTGCCATGCAGAAGAAAGTGTGAGAAAAAAACGCAGTCCCACCAGACATAAAACATTCTTCCAAGAACTCGGATACATGCATACGCGTATGACGGAGAGGGCTAACAGAGAGAGAGAGAGAGAGAGAGAGAGAGAGAGAGAGAGAGAGAGAGAGGGAGAAAGAGAGAGAGAGAGAGAGAGAGAGAGCAATCGTGAGCTTGCAGCCACCCCATATCTCTACGGCCCACGCTATGTGTGTGCGTTTTGCTTTGGTCTCATGTATTGTGGCATTCAAACTCATCGTTCGGTTTTAAAAAGCTTCGCATCGGGACACAGGAATAAGCTCACTCAGGAATAATTGCTTCAGACACAACGACAACATAATGTGTTTGGTGATGCTTGATGCTACTCCCTTCGGCGCTTGCTAGAATTGTGTGCGCGCATGATCGCAACAGAGAAGCTACTCGTATCGCAGAACGACAACACAGAAGAACCACATTCCTGCGGCCCGACCGCTCGGGGGAGCTGGGACAAACTGAATCACCCGCACAGCAGTCCGACTCGTGGGACACGTCCAAGGCGATGTAGACACTGCGTTTGACTACGCGTGGTGTCATACAGCCGGTCAGTATCGGGTGAAAGTTCGAAACTACGAAGGAACGAGCCGTGCAAACGAGACTCAACATACCGAGAGTGCGAGATGGCGATGAACGCACTACTCCGTTACAATAATTGGAGTACTACTTGCAGTGAAACAACAACAACGAAGTCAGCCCTGGCGAGTAGTCTAGTAGGTGATCTAGGCACTTTTGGCCTGCCTAGATACGGCAGTGATCTCCGGGGGCGGACCCCCCGCCAAACGCTGGGAAAGTCTTAACAGGCCTGCAACTGGGAATAGGCGACTGAGTTGTAGTCGAATGGATACACCGTAAGACATCACATCCTGAGTGGTAGAGCATTCCGCAATCCCGTTTACCTCGCAAATTCCACACCCCATCCTACCTTTACCAGCGGCAGCAGCATCGGCAACGCCCTGCACCTGCTCCGCGATACTCCCCGCAGCGTCCGCTGCCCCGTAGGCCGCATCCTTGACCGCAGCCACGCCGCTGCCCACCTGCGGCATGAAGTGACAAGAGTCGAGGAAAACTGCAGCAACATCATCGTGTACCCCACATGAGAGTAGCGCCGACTCGATCATAGCTGTAAAGGCGCGTGACTTTCTGCCTGCCAAGTCAAACACAGGGGGCTTTGGGCCTGCAGGGCGCGTGAGCTGCCGCGTGGTATATAGCGAGCTAAAATAAAAAATTTAATAGGGCAATGTAGCGTACCACCCCGCACCGGCACGCTCGCGAGAGCGGCACTTACGTAATTGCGCCGCATAGTCTACACACGTACCGCAGCCGTATTCGTCTCTTACCTTCCGAAGCGACTTCCCCACCCCGTCAAGCGGGTTCTTGAGCGACCGGACGTCGGGAATGCTCGGGAGCTTCGGCGGCGAGGGGGGCTTGACGCCCCAGCGCGCGCTTTTCTTGCGCACGTCTTCCTCCTCGTCGTCTTTGTTGTCGCCCTCGGGCTGTTCAACCGGGCGCGTGACTCTGCCGCCGGCAAACTTCACGGAGTTCGTGCCCTTCTTCTTGGCGGAGGAACGCTTCGGAGGGGTCGGAGAGGAGGACGACGGGCCCGCAGAGAGAGGCGCGACCCCGCGACGCCTGCCGAAGGACGGATCGCAGGATGGTCGATACCTGCGCAGTTGTTGTCGTGCCGAGCTGCTGAAGGTGTGAGGGGCAAACCCGGAACCGGAGTCGAGGGTGCAGATCAGCAGCAGGAGCGCGGTGGCCTTGGACACAAGAGTCGTGGGACATCCCACTGCTGGCCACGGCGGCGGTATTCTTTTGCTGTGCCCACCAGGCGGCGCCATGGGAGTTTGAAGCAGGCGGTTCGGCGGCGCGGTGTACATGTATGTGTCAACGCCCCATCTTGCGCATGATCCTTGCCTGTCTATGATACAGTCTGGCCCCGCGGCAACGCGGAATCATGTCCAACAATATCGGTGGGTACGCGGAAAACAGTAAGATGTGTCAGAGACGGGGCGCACCAGCAGCGTCGTGTCGTTGCAGCCGTCGTGGACGTACAACCCGCCACCTCTGTACTGTCTGCAAATGAGGGCCTGTGCACTGCTCGCGTTTCTCTCCGTCGTATGTGAGTCTCGGCCTGGTTGCCCATTGTGGATTGATTACCTACGACGTGGATGACGAATAGGTTTCACAGCCGTCCCTACGCATCATCTGCCGGTTGTTGCATGAGTCATGCTTTCTTAGCTTGGCAAGGCCAAGAGAAAGGCACTGCTTTACTCTCCCTCCTGCCCCTCAGCTACAAGTAGAGCAGTTAAGTCGATCGTCGATTGCCCCGCCAGATATTCCCTCTACACGGCCGGCGGTCAGCGGGAGAACCAGGCGATCGTGACGACGATACTAGTAGTATCCTAAATCAGCAATTCCGCCGCGTCGAAGCGAGCACCACGTTGGTACGTGCTCCTGCACACCAGTACACGTCGCCGTACACATAAGGAGTAATTTCTTCATATGTCCATTGCCACGTGGACTGCTGTGCGTTGGCCCTTCGGTCTGGTCCGTGGTCATGCCACGTGCACAGGGTTCGAGCGCGTCGTGCGTTCTCTATGCTACTGACACCACAAGAGACACAAGCAGGTGTTTTGCCGCCGGCAGGGAGCTACAGCAGACCGGTCGCCCTGGTGGTAAATTGGTTTCTCGTAGACCGCTAATCGTAGAGGTCGTGAGTTCAGAACCCCACGGGGTGAATAAAATGCACACTATGCGGGTGAAAGCGAAGTACAGCTGAAAAGCTCTCGTGAGTACAAAGCTTCGACATTTGCACCGTTGATGAGGGGAAGGGACGGCTGGAGCCTTCTCGCGATAAAAATAATAGTATTCAGCACGCACCGCAGGAGGAAGGTGTGGCATGAAAATAAGTACTTCGAAGAACAAATAAGAAAAAAGCCCTGGTATATTATCCCTCCCAGTAGTCTACGCAGCAAATTGATTAAGAAAACATATGGGATAGAGTATCCAATCCGTGCTTTAGGGTTTGTTTTTTTTGTGGAGTTGGGGATAGGGTCTGCGTGCCCTCTCCCAATTCATTCTCTAGATACTCTTAAAATCCTGCGTAGGCGGTCCCTCCCTCCTGTGTGACCCTGGATGGTTGTAGTTGTACGAAAAAATACACTGAAAAGTGTAGTACTCCACATTCGTATTGTATAATACTGTACATGCGCTGAAAAAGTGTAGTACACATCTCACCACGAAAAATAGGGGGACTGTCGCCATAATAAACAGTATGATAACACACACAACACACACACATCGTGGGCTACTGATCGACCAACTTCCTCCAGGGCCAATCGGTTGGGATCTCTGCGACAACGATAGTAACATGGGTAATTCTTTTGGGAGTGACGGAGACGAAGGAAAGGGCAAGGGAAGAAAGGAGGACGAAGATGACGATGGAGGAGGAAAACATGGAGGAGTGGAAGAGAGCAAAGGGTTTGAGCCAGATGACCTTCCCCAAAGAAAAAACGTGCGGCTAGGGAAGAACTGCCCAGAGATTCTTGTCAAAATGAGGATCAGAATGATGGCAGCGAAAACAAGGATGATGATTGTGAAAGTACTCCTAAACGAACGCGAGTACAAGGTAGTAGCCTTCGTAGACGCGTGCAGTTTTCTGCTGTTGCTGCTGTTTCTGTCTTTGATCCGGAGGATAGTTTAGCCTCCCCCATGCTGCCCCCTCACGGGGTCCCAGTTCATGGCAGATAGAAGTGTTTTGTGTTTTCAACCACACTTAGACTGACGTCTTTGCATTGGTCAGTCGGTTAGCGCGGTCGATGCTAATAATAAAAACACACACACACACACCTGTTGCTCCCCGACGTTTTAAGTTCCCTTCGAGTGAGTGGGTTTGGTTCTAGCCGCTCCTGAAGTGGTTTGGTCTCCTAGACCACTGGTAAGCTGTTCACTGCCGTAGTGCCCTCGCCACGTGTGCTACATGCAACCATGTGCTACAAGTGCCATCGCCACAGCGCAGTTACAAAACCGCACGTGAGTACAATCCAGACCGCCAACCGCTGCCGACACACGGAGACGCTGCACCCTTCGCCAAACGAACCACTCTTGCAGGTTGCGACGGGTTCACAACACCGCCTTCTTCCTCGAGAATGGTAACCCCAACCATGTCCCACGGGCAGCGGGGTAGTGGACCCGTGTCGCGCAAGGCGCTGCTTAAGACCGGAGCAGCAGGCTTGGCCTCCCTAGGCCTGTGGTTCGCGGCGGGCTCCGACGCGGGAAGGCCGCAAGCCGCCTTTGCAGCACAAAGGGTAGGAAGCGGTAAGAAAGCACGAGGGAGATTTTGCAGGCAACGAGGGTTTATGTTTTGCATGCCTTCGCGGTTACACCATGGAGCACTCGTCCTCGAGAGGGTGGAGCGTTGTCCCCACAGGACCGGCGGCCAATCGCCCGTTTCTACCTTGCCAAATGTGGCTGAAAGGTTTTTCCCTATCCCATCTGTCCCCCCCCCGGTGTTTGCCATCGGGGTTGGGTTTTCGTCGCTTGGCAACGACGTTGTAAAACAAGCCAATTCACTTCGTG